GCCACAACCAACTCACAATCAGGTCGACATAATCACCGATTTGAATGGAGATGTTGCATGTGTGAGGAATTTGCGATTTGACTGTTGATTCTGACGTAAAAGTTCGCGAGTAACACGATGTGGCCACTGGTTTTCTCTAAAATTAACTCCCAAGCTCAAAAAAAGCTCTCAAGTTGAGGCCAAATGAAAATAAAATTATAAAGAAGTAAAGTGTTAAAAGATTAAAAAATTGCAAAGAATACAAAGTCTAAGGCATATTGGCCGTTCAATAAAATGAAAATGATAATGGCATTTTGAGGGCTTATAACAAAGACGTTAATGAAATAAATGGATGATTTCTCAAAAGACAACATTGACAAGATTTTCAAATTTTTGGACAAGTTTTTCAAAAAAAATTTCCCCCGTGGCTCGGATTAGTCACGTAATGCTGCGCTTGACTCCCCCCCNTGGAACGATTGTAACGTTGGCTCACCGCCCCCCCAAGTGCGTGACATAATACATGTAAGTAAACCGGAGCAGTGTGAAGGTACACTGCCCTGTTAAAAGCATCTCTGCATGAGCCACGATTGGCACATGATTTCACGTGTCTTAAAACTCATCCGAGAATGCATTCACTGCTCTTTTTCGTAATACAGCAGTGTAGAGGGGGCGTTTCCTTTAAAACGTAGCCTCCGCGAGGACCGAGACTCGAAGCTGTTCCTTCACGGGGAAGTAGCTTTGACATGGCGGTGCGGGGCGCGGTGCTAAAAGTTTTCAAGACGGGGAAGCTACAAGTTTCGCGCGTCGCAATTAAAATTGCAAGTTAAAACTCGAACGAAATCGCGGCAACGGAAGGCGGTATTGTCGGGTGAGCGCAATGAAAGCGGTGCAGCGGTAAAACCTCTCGTCGCAGAGCGGTGGATCTAAACCACCATCCGACCCTGCGGGGAAAAGTTAGTCGCATTGTACCAAGCCTGACAGAGCCCTGGTCTTTTAATGCACCCCTTTGAACAGATGAACTGGAATACCCAACGTGCCCTGCCCCGAATTTGCCTCTTTAGCGTAGACCTGATTAACGAGAAACTTGGGTTTTGTCTCCTCTGCTCCGCCGTGCTAAGGAAGAACGTCGTATGAACATTCGGGAGTTGCCAAATTTCCCAGATAAAATGTTTATTTTGCAGAGGAAAGTTATGAATATTTTTCCTTGAAATTTTCAGACACTTTAGATCAAAATACGAACAAAGTTCTCTGAGAATTTGAAAGAAAAATATTCATAAGTTTACCAAGAAATTCGTGTTTTATTAAAGAAATTTGGCAACGCCTGAAGGTTCATACGGTGTTGCGAAATTTCCATCGACGAATCACGAATTTTTCGGACAATTTGTGAATAATTCCCTTTCGATTTTTTAGATGATTTCGAAATCTGAAAATTTCAAGGAAACATGTTCATAACTTTCTCCAAAAATAATTATTTTCTGGTAAATTTGGCAATATTGAATGCTCATACGGCGTTTTTACTTACCACGGCATTCTAAGTGGGTGCATCGAACGTATTTCGACGGCGAAACTCCCAAACCACGTATCTCGGTTTGCTGCGTTGCAAACTTCGTATCATTGTTTATTTTTCAAATGGGAAACCGCCAACGGTAATTTTTAAAATCTACCGTGATTTTTCTTCTCTGTGGGAGGAAAGTTCAGTGGAAACTTCAAGGAATGATGCCAATTTTGCTGAATTTGCTGATTTTTTTTTTTAATTATGTTGTCTATGTTTTTTTTGTTGATTTTGTTCAACTACGATTCAATTTTTGAATCGATATCGGATGACTTTGATTGATAAAAAACATTGCAGAGATAAGGATTTTTCGATCAGGATCATTTGATAACGATTCAACAATCACTGACAACGTAACAACTTTTCGTTGATGCCCTGCCACCATTCCCATCCCTTCATCTATCGTCCGCGTCGCTTTCATCTAGGAAGAATTCCGATTTGACGTCAGCAAGGTGGAGAATGAATAGTAGTAGAATTTTAGTCATTTTTTGCGCTCTATTGAAAATATCTGCAATACCGTCACGAGTTTTGCAATTTCTCTCTATTCCTCTTCTCAATCCATGAAATCTATAAAGGGTGCCCCAGAGTTGAATGCAGACGCGTGTTTAATTTGTCGGAAAAGGATTTTTTTCCTCTCAAAAATTTCCATCAGAAGTGCTTCCAATCAGATTTTACAGCCCCCCAAATTTTCAATGTGTCCAAATTCAACCCTTGAAATAGTCAAGAACATCATTTTCTTCACCTGAGAAGCCACGCCGAACAGTGAATCGAGTCAATGGGAGAAGTCGGACGAAATTTAGAAACTTCAAAAACTTTTAACTCTATTCATACAAAATGTTGAGCTTTCAAAAGTGGTTCCATTGGTTTTCTCGTGAAATTTACTTCTAGAAGCACCCCTTGAACTCGAAAATGTGACGAAATAAACATCAAAATTTGCAGTTTCATTAAAAAAAAGTCATGCCTGACCTCTCCAATTGACTCGATCCACGGTGCGCCAAGCCTTGGGATCGGGGAGCCTTCGATTTTGACCGCATTTGATCAAAACTTGAGAAAATGTGACAGAACGTTTTTGAGGTAAGCTCAATTTATTTTGAAAGTTGATTTAAAAAAAAAACCGCTCAGTTCTAGACGGATCCTCCCATTCATATAAATGAGATAATCTGTCCATCGAAATACAAACCCACTTACATGCGACGATCCCAATATTACTACTAAAATTCTGAAACTTCTCACCTCTCTTAATTTAAAAATCTAAATTTTCGTATATTCTCCCATTTTCAAAATTCTCTGTAAAGACGTTAATAGCCTGTGACGCTGAATGTCTTAAATATACTAACTAACTAACTAACTAACTAACTAACTAACTAACTAACTAACTAACTTTTCCATAGATTTAAGTGGCAAATCAATCAATAAATCGCAAAGCAGCCATACGCCACTGGAACAGTCCTTTTGGTGAAACAGCCCTGTGGGAAAAGCTACCACCACCCCCACCTTCATTCTTCGCTTAGGGGTGCCAAAACCTCAGAGTGGCTACCAGTTGACTTAATCCCGAGGTCTGTGTAAATATTTAGGCAACAAAAGATTAAATTGCCGCGTAAAGTGGAGGAACAGCCCGCAAGTCATTAATAGGGTCTATGCGGGTGAAATTGAATTAATTTGCAAGAAGCCATGCGTTTTAATCCGAGTCCCTCCGATCCTCAGTTACAGCGTCACCGGAACGGAGCACTTTAAATTAGATGAATGAATTGAAGAAACTTCCGGCGAAAACTTTACTATTAAAGCTCAGTTTACTCGTCCGGGCTGCTCAAGGGTAGTCGACTTCGCTCTTCGTAGACTTGCCCGGAAGTGCTTGAAGTTCGAATTTGCGGATTTGAATCATTTACGTGAAAAATGTCATGCGATTTGACGTCCCTCGCCCGGAAAAAGTTCGGTTCATTTAAGGGGAGTCGCATGACTCGTGAGTCATGAGTCATCTTCTCAATGTAAAATTTACCGATGCTAAGGTACACTTTTTTCAAGTTGCACTGAATAGGTGTTCTAAGACTTTATTATTATTATTATTATTATTATTTTTTTTTTTTTTTGACTCCTTGGACTTTCGAGTTTGAAAACTCGAGAAACCTGAACTTCGTTGAGTTTTCGACAAAAATTTAAAAATATTTCACTCGAAGAACCCCAAGACTGAATTTTTTTCTTTCAGAGTTATCCGTGAAAATTCTCCTTCTTTCCTTTTTTTGGTAAAGATAAAAACTTGGGGGAAAAAAGATTTTAAAAATTCATTTTAAAGCTTTTAAGAAAATTGTACCTTACGGTCATAAAGCGTTGTTTTGAGGAAAACCTATTTAAAGTTTTGGTACACATAAGAATGGCAAGAAAACATCGGTAACGAAAACTGGATAGGGATCGGGAGGGGATTGTTCCTGGGCCACATGATCGAAATGTTCGATAGAGAGCGAAGGTCCTTACGCTCTGGTCCCTTGTCCACCGGTTCGGACTCACAATGGACCTTAAAAAACTCTCAATTACGGACTTCTCGTAGTAGAATCTCATGGTGGATTCGCTCTCAGAAAAAATCTGCGCTTATGCGTTGTTGCTGCAGGTGGAACCTGCGCGGTGCACTGGCGCCTACAAACCTAAGTGGATACTCCACGCATTGCGCAATGCTTGAAGTATCCCCTAAGGTTTGTAGGCGCTAATGCGCGTTTTGCTGACCGCTCATTGCATCGCATTCAATCGGTCAGGGTGTTAAAATCTTGGCAATTTGACATTAAATTCAAAATCAGTGACTCGAAAAACAGTAGCAACGAAACTTCCGTGATCTTTCAATCACTAACCGACTTATTTCTTCCTATTTTTGAGTTCTGGTTCTTGACCATCGTGCGGCGGCCGTCGCGCGGATGCTGATCGGTCTTGCTGTTTACGAGGTTTACACGCAACCGACTGCACGGAACAAAATTAAATGCTGATATAGCCTTTAAAATGTTAAAAAAGAGCCAGTGAAGTTTCAAATGCTGATTTTACAATACAAAAATGCTAACAGAACATTTCAATTTGTTCGTTTTACAGTGGGCGCAGTTGAGTTGGCATTTCTTCAAATGTAAAATCAGCATTTGAAACTTGTTGGACATGTTTTTAACAATATTAATGCTAAATCAACAGCTAATTTTTTCCGTGTGAGCCGAAACGTATTCGAGTACTGCACTACCTTTATTTATATGCAATGAATAATTGAAATTTTTCCCGCGATTTTGTGCGAGAACGGTGCCTTGTAGAAATTTGGGGCAGTGATGAGTTTTGATCAGAATCCATAGACGAATTTAAAACAATAAAAAAATTAAAAATCGATCGTGATACACATCCTGTGCTGTGTCCTTTGAAAGTCAGGTTTAATGCGAGACGCAACGCAAGTAAGAGTATTTCTATTCTCAATATGAGTTTGACCTTCTGCTTTTTTTGTTTGTTTCAGGAGTCACTATTGGGAAACTGTTTGTCTTCTGCTGCTGTATGTTCAGAGAATGCCAAATAAATTTCTAGTCATTGCAGAAATTGTACAGCTCTTTACTTAGGTACCTTCATTTATTCCCGTGCTGAACTCTCTGGACTTAATAAAGTTGTAAAAATATATTTTAAAAAATTGTGTAGTAAGATTTTCCTGGTGTCTTCGATGTCACGTTGTTTTTGAAGGCCCACAGATTACTTCCATGTCAGGATTGGCCTTCTTGTAAGTTTCTAAACTACAGAGAAATAAAATGAGGTCAAAAGTTTGACTGTTGTGTTTTTAAAGTGCTTCAACTCCGTTCTCAAATTTGAGATGAAAAATCTGTAATAAAGACCAAAGTATATACTACCCAATTTACGGAGACTTGAATAGGTAGCATAGCCAAAGAAACATTTTATTGTTGGTTTTGAATCACAACGAAAGAAATATTCAAGCGAGGGCTATTTAGAATACATCTGATATATATACTGTAGCCCTACTACCAATTATACAATTGTGCAGCTAAACAAATCTAAAATCGCTGTCTAAGAGTTTACAGGTTGAAAAATTAGGGAAGTCTTCAGCAAAGATTAGGAGATTTCATGTACTAAAGGCATCCCTCCATTCAAGATATTTTTTCACGAATTATTTCAATTTTTGAGTATGGAAAAAACAATTGTATACTCGTGATACTTAAGTTCATTTGCTTCGACTTTAAAATTTTCATTTTCGATTCACTCTTCCTTGAATTTTTCCTTGCTAAAAAGCATAGGAAGATTTTTAATATTTTTCCCTGAACATTGCCCACAAAATAGGATTAATGAGAAACACGGAAAAAAGTAATGAAATCATTCACATCTACTGCACTTAAAATCGATGACTCAATTGATTTCTAACTGCTCATTTCACACCTTCAATTTTTTTCCTCTGTAAGAATATTATAATTTCTACCTCTATTAGTAAATGAAAAACATTTTTTACGACACAAAACTGGACCTGGCAACGGCATTTGGCAATATTTAAACTGTAAATAATGTACATATTGACAGTGTGACTGAAAATTATAAATATTGATTTAAATTACTGTTTTTATTCGTAAGTATTTTGTGTGCTCTTTTGCTAGCTTCGAAACTTTCCTTGTTCCTCAGTCACTCAAAATGGAGTCGAACTTTTCAACAAATATAGAGCAAACATTTCTAATGCAAATACAGGAATCATCCAACTATTACTTGACTTCTGACTTTTTTTGTCCCCTTTTAACCCTATGGAGGGTGATCCGTCCAGAAACCTAACTTTGTGAGAGAAAAAAAAAACTTGGCTAGCGACAAGGAAACTTGGTCGGAGAAGAAAAAACTTGGCTTGGAAAAAAAGACTTGGTAAGAGAAAGGGAAAGGTCAACGGAGGAAAAGATACTTGTATGGAGCGGAAATAACGTTTCAGAGGAAAATAAACTTCGTTGGGAGAAAAATACAATTCTGGGTCCGGGTTTGATGTTACGTTCTCAACGATGGCAACGGTCGCATCAGTGATTTCATCATGTTGTCAATCGTCTATTTAATTTTTAATTTATTAACAAGTGCAGGAAGAAGAAGAAGCGGTGTGTAATCTTAGGTTTGCGCCATGTTGTCAAGTGTCAATTTAAGTCAGAATGGTATTTTTCTCCCGACGAAGTTTCTTTTCCTCTGAAAGGTTATTTCCGTTCCATACAAGTATCTTTTCCTCGTTGACCTTTCTCTTTCTCTGACCAAGTTTTTTTTTCCAAGCCAAGTTTTTTTCTTCTCCGACCAAATTTCCTTTTCGCTGGCCAAGTTTTTTTTTCTCTCACAAAGTTAGGTTTCTGGACAGATCACCTTCCGCAAAACCCATCGACATGTCATCTAGCATGGCATTTTCTTGGTCCTGTCCACTGTTCAGTCATTTAAAGTAGGTGCCGTAAAAGCCGAGAACACTCTGCACCAAAAATTCTTATTTTCGGGGTGCTTTTTTGACTCGTTTTTCCCGGAGCATTCCGTCCGTTTGCCACGAAAATGAGTGGCGTCAACATAGCTCTGATCACACCGGGACGGTCCCTTTCCTCCTGATGAATTTCATTTCCTTTAAAGTTTCAAAAAAAGGGTTTTTCCGGTACGGTCTTGAACTAGTAAGCCTGGAACGCTCTGATACCAGTGTAATCCACCGGTGTGTCAGTGTCACATACCAGCCCGAGTATGTCGATTGAGGATATTGTCGAGAAATTAGTCAGTAGTCAAATTTGCAAAACCGAAAGAGACGAGTTAGCTCGAATATCCTCGAATTAGTTCAAATATCCTTTCCTGCACGCGTAAGGGAGCGTATTTAGCTCCGATTGCAACGTTACAGACCTCAACTAATGTCTTATTTTTAATAATTCTTGTCACGAAAGGCAAATACAGTTTTTCTAAAGAATTTTCGCAGATTCTCCTCAGTCGCCGGAAATTTTGACGCAATATTTTCGCTCGTTTCATACCTCATTTTAAAAAAAATGACTTTAAGAAACCCAATCCGAGATTCCGATTCGTTCCAATTCAGGGATACACTTACACTCAAATTATGGTATAAACGGGACAGAGAGTCAAGGATAATGACGTGCAGTCCTATCTTCGCGGCGATTTTAGCGGCGCGCCAGCCAGGGAGATCGCACGGGACGGGACCCGAGTAATCGCTGGAGTGTGGCGCGCCTTCAATCCGGCTGGCAGCAACATGCTTACACCAATGGTCGAATAGTTGTATTACTGCGCCTGCCGTGAATGAGCTCAAATATCCTTTCCTGCACGCGTAAGGAAGCGTATTTAGCTCCAATTGCAACGTTACAGACCTCAACTAATGTCTTATTTTTAATCATTCTTGTCACGAAAGGCAAATACAGTTTTTCTAAAGAATTTTCGCGGATTTCCTTCAGTCGCCGGAAATTTTGACGCAATATTTTCGCTCGTTTCATACCTCATTTTAAAAAAATGAATTTAATAAACCCAATCCAAGATTCTGAATCGTTCCAATTCAGGGATACACTTTCACTCAAATTGTAGTCTAGGCGCATGGTAAGTCTACCTGGAATTTTGGGAACACATCGATTTTTTTGACTTACTTTATGTGTTTTGGGTCGCTGAATCCGAATCTGAAGTTTCCTACCGCGTATCTGGTGAGCATTTTCCGCCATTTTGAAAAAATGGCGTAGAAAGGCTTTTTTCTGCGGTTTTTCTTTATATAGCGGCTGCGCATGAGAAAAAATTCCGGACTAAGCAAATGTTTTGAATAGCTGACAAAATTTGCAAGAAAATGGTATATGAATATGCTAGGTTTGCTAAAAAATTGAGGAACCTCGGATCTCAGAACTTTGGAACACTTCGGAACGTAACTGACCGCGGCGAGCCGGATCACGCGTTAACAGGTGCGCCGCGAAAACGTGAATAGGCGCGATGTTCACGATGCTGTATCTTCCTCAATTTTTAAGCAAACCTAGCATGTATTACACAATTTTCTTCCAAATTTTGTGAGCTATTCAAAACATTAGCTAAATCCGGGAATTTTTCTCATGCGTAGCGCTACATTAAAAAAAAGCAAAAAAAGGCCTTATTAGGCCATTTTTTTATAATGGCGGAAAATGCCCACCAGATACGCGGTAGGAAACTTCAGATTCGGATTCAGCGACCCAAAAAGAATAAAGTAAGCCAAAAAAATCGCTGTGTACCCAAAATTCCAGGTAGACTCATTTTTAACTACCAGGCGCCTGGACTATCGTGGTAAAAACGGGACAGAGAGTCAAGGATAATGACGTGCACTCGTGCAATCCTCCCTTTGCGGCGATTTTAGCGGCGCGCCAGCCAGGGTGATCGCACGATACGGGACCCGAGTAATCGCTGGAGTGTGGCGCGCCTTCAATCCGGCTGGCAGCAACATGCTTACACCAATGGTCGAATAGTTGTATCACTGCGCCTGCCATGAATGAGTTCAAATATCCTTTCCTGCACGGGTAAGGAAGCGTATTTAGCTCCGATTGCAACGTTACAGACCTCAACTAATGTCTTATTTTTAATCATTCGTGTCACGAAAGGCAAATACAGTTTTTCTAAAGAATTTTCGCGGATTTCCTTCAGTCGCCGGAAATTTTGACGCAATATTTTCGCTCGTTTCATACCTCATTTTAAAAAAAATGAATTTAATAAACCCAATCCGAGATTCTGAATCGTTCCAATTCAGGGATACACTTTCACTCAAATTGTAGTCTAGGCGCATGGTAAGTCTACCTGGAATTTTGGGAACACATCGATTTTTTTGACTTACTTTATGTGTTTTGGGTCGCTGAATCCGAATCTGAAGTTTCCTACCGCGTATCTGGTGAGCATTTTCCGCCATTTTGAAAAAATGGCGTAGAAAGGCTTTTTTCTGCGGTTTTTCTTTATATAGCGGCTGCGCATGAGAAAAAATTCCGGACTAAGCAAATGTTTTGAATAGCTGACAAAAGAGCCGTATGCAAAAACGACATTTTTCGCCCCCCCACTAAAACTTATTCAAACTTCGTCTATCAGTTACTAATACTGGAGCGCTTCTTTCCCCAAATTTTCAGACCCCCAAAAAAATTTGGGGGGGGCGCTAGGGGGGGTGGAAGTCAAAACCCGGGACCCTCGATATCTTTCGAACGAAACAAGATATTGAGGCCCGGTTTGGACGAAAAATCGTCTAAAATTGCATACTTTAAGATTCTAAAGGTCAAAATCCCAAAATTAAATTTTTAACTTAACTTATGTGCTTTTTTTCAGTTTTTGAGGAAAAACAATTTCTTTTAAACGGATTAAACTGAAATTTCACATTTTTTGATTTGAACCAAAACCAGTTTTTTAAATTGTTCGTCTTTTTCCGCATCCAACGAGTGGTCGTATAAGCTGGGGAACCGAACGGTTCCGGAGTTATGATCGATTGAAGTTTCCGCTCAACGCGCGCCGACCGATTTTTGCGCGCAAAAAAGTCGGATTTGACTGTTATTAAATCAGATTTAATGTTCAAACTGAGCAAAATGCATTATTAGGGACTCTTGAGGGTCGCTGAGTCCAGAAATTACAGATACTTCCAAAAAATTCACGTTTTTAAAATTACAGCTCCGTAGCGCTATTTTAGAGGCCCACTGAGCGCCAACCGGCCGCTCAGTGGTCCTGTACGGAGCTGTAATTTTAAAAACGTGAATTTTTTGGAAGTATCTGTAATTTCTGGACTCAGCGACCCTCAAGAGTCCCTAATAATGCATTTTGCTCAGTTTGAACATTAAATCTGATTTAATAACAGTCAAATCCGACTTTTTTGCGCGCAAAAATCGGTCGGCGCGCGTTGAGCGGAAACTTCAATCGATCATAACTCCGGAACCGTTCGGTTCCCCAGCTTATACGACCACTCGTTGGATGCGGAAAAAGACGAACAATTTAAAAAACTGGTTTTGGTTCAAATCAAAAAATGTGAAATTTCAGTTTAATCCGTTTAAAAGAAATTGTTTTTCCTCAAAAACTGAAAAAAAGCACATAAGTTAAGTTAAAAATTTAATTTTGGGATTTTGACCTTTAGAATCTTAAAGTATGCAATTTTAGACGATTTTTCGTCCAAACCGGGCCTCAATATCTTGTTTCGTTCGAAAGATATCGAGGGTCCCGGGTTTTGACTTCCACCCCCCCTAGCGCCCCCCCAAATTTTTTTGGGGGTCTGAAAATTTGGGGAAAGAAGCGCTCCAGTATTAGTAACTGATAGACGAAGTTTGAATAAGTTTTAGTGGGGGGGCGAAAAATGTCGTTTTTGCATACGGCTCTTTGAAAGAAAATGGTATATGAATATGCTAGGTTTGCTAAAAAATTGAGGAACCTCGGATCTCAGAACTTTGGAACACTTCGGAACGTAGCTGACCGCGGCGAGCCGGATCACGCGTTAACAGGTGCGCCGCGAAAACGTGAATAGGCGCGATGTTCACGATGCTGTATCTTCCTCAATTTTTAAGCAAACCTAGCATATGTATACACCATTTTCTTCCAAATTTTGTCAGCTATTCAAAACATTAGCTAAATCCGGGAATTTTTCTCATGCGTAGCCGCTACATAAAAAAAAACCGCAAAAAAAGGCCTTTTTAGGCCAATTGTCAAAATGGCGGAAAATGCTCACCATATACGCAGTAGGAAACTTCAGATTCGGATTCAGCGACCCAAAAAACATAAAGTAAGCCAAAAAAATCGCTGTGTACCCAAAATTCCAGGTAGCCTCATTATTCGCTACCAGGCGCCTGGACTACCAATATTTAAACTCTCGGAGTCAGCGTTTTTCAACTCACGATTTTGAAATGTTTGCACACGCTGCATGGATTACTCTCATTTAAATTAATGAAGAAGAAAATATGCATGAAAGGAAAATATAATGTGCGCTTTGTAAATATTCAGGTAGGTCCGTGTCAAATTTGATAATTTCCAAAGCGATTTTATATTTGGTGCTTTTACTGTGCTGCAGTGTGGTGTATGCGCTACCAGAGGCTCAAAATTGGACGCATTTGACTCTAACAGATCGATGTGCAAATGGGTTAAAACCAAAGATGGCGTGTTTCTTGGTTTTTTCCCCTCATTTATTCATTATTGTAGAGATCTTCCGACACAAGTACGCAATGTCATTGCTTGGAAAAGGTTTTACAAATATTTGCCACGTTTTAAAAATGTAAATATTTTTGAAATGAAGTAATATATCATTGAAAAAAAGTCTCAGGGGTACAGAGGAGGTAGGGACCTACAATAATAGAAATGAAAATCTGCATTAACTAGAAAACTAAATTTATTTTTTAATATTCCTCATCGATGAATATTTACAAGGGAATAAAAAATAAACATAAATAGAAGAACCTAAACTCAGTACAGTTTTAATTTGATCATGAAGGTCAACAATCAATTGGATGTATTTCTGCCAAACGGAACTATGTGTGTTAACACATGAGCCCTGAGACCCATAAGAATAGATGCATAACAGGGCTCATGTCACAATTCTCATAGTTCCGTTTGACAGAAATACGTCCAATTACAAACAAGTTTGTTAATTTTTTTTCAAATATTGCAAACTTTTAAAGTTTAAAAAAGGGAACAATGAGGTAAAAATGTAAAATAAAAACCTTTCCGTGACAGTTCATCAGAGTGACAACAGATAAGTTTCAATGGCCTGTTGAATAACAGAAACAATCTATTTTGAACTGTTCCGAAAAGATTCATTATTTTTTCATTTTGTTATGAGCCAAATAAAACATTTGTAAACAAAATAGTAATTTCAGGAAATGTAAAGTTCCGGCATTCTATGCAACAATGATCCTCAATACAATACATCTAATAAAAATTTTAGTAATCACCTTAAGTTATCCCTTGAAGTATACACATTTAAAAATATGTATTTTTAACCATAAAAGGGGAGTGAAAATGAGTCAAAATAATTTTAAAATGAAATGAGAAAAATATTGATAGTCCGAGAGCCAGACGATATTAGGTGATACAATCATGACACAAGTTTTGACCACTTAAATCTGCACTGACGCGGAAAATGGTTGTCTGCTTGTACCGTTGTACACGCTACAACATGGCAGACGACCAGTTTCCATGTCAGTACATGTGAGACTATCTTTTTAAGTGGTCAAAACTTGTGCCACAAATTTGTCACTGAATGACATCAAGCTCTTGGACTATGAATAGATGAATGAATTACATCGACAAAATTTTGGTTTTGAAAACTGTTGGGAGATACAGAGCCTCAAGATGTTAAAATCAAAAAGATTTGTCTTTTTTTTAAAAGGAAAAAAAAAACATAATAAAAGGGAAATCAGCCTGAAAATTTCAACTGAAATACCTTGCTTCAGTCGGGTACTCCTACCGTTGCCAGGAAACAGAAACTACAGCTCATTCAACTCGACAGCACTGTAAAACCAGTCATATAATCAAACTGCTGGGTAAGTACATTCAAGAGCTTATTCTGAATAAAATAATTAGGAACTTAAAATGGATAGAAAAACCGAATCATGATCTTGAAATCAACATATAAGTTGACAAAGTCTTAATTTTACCTATTGCGCAGCATATCCAACTATCCAATCTCAGAGGAACTCCAAGAGACGTTCAGGTGTAAACATATTTGCGGTCACATATTCAGGAAGGAGAATGAACAAAATAATTTGTTTCCTCTTCATGCAACTGATATCCATATTCAATTTAACAACTTGTAACAGGGATGAAAATTTTTCTTAATTTGTTACAAGTGCATGGAGGAAAAAAATCTGGAGATTCTGGAGCAAGTTTGACCCTAAAATCTTAAACATTGAAAAAGACATCAGTCCTGAAGATAAAAGACAAAAATCCTTAGGTTGTAGAAAAAATTTAAGAGATAGCAATACGTTACAGAAAATTTTTTCCCCAAAGTTAAAGGGCTTTCCACAGATCCTTTTAAATTTTGACTCCCAAACAACGTATGTATCTTGTTTGCGATGTTCCAAAATCCCTGCTCCCTTTTTCTTTTTTTAAGCAAGAACAAATCCACATGATTACTTGAGACTTTTACAGAATGTACTTCACACGGAGACGAAAAATCACTGCAGATTAAAGAAGTTGACGTTCACAAGTTTTACATGAGAACAAGTGTGTTACAAGTTTTACAGGAAGTCTGAAACATGGCAAAGCAAGAGACATGGCTTAGGAGTTTCATCGTTGATTTGATTTCCATCAATAGTGGTAATCAAAACTATAGACTGGTAAGTAAAGTAAAGAAAATTTATGCAAACTTCAATTTCATATACAAGAGATGTTTAAACAATGGTAGGGGACAAAATGGCACTTAATTTTAACAACCTAAGTAACAAAATGCCTAACATATCAAATGAAAAGACCCGAATGGGCAAAACAAAACCTGACTTTTTCAACCTCATATTAATGTAGAATTTTGCGGGCTAAACTGCTGAGAATAACAATTTTTCACACTTTCAAGCTTTTGCTTAAGTTTTGAAAAACACAAGATCACTACACTCAAAAAGTATCTGTTGTTACAACTACCTAACAAAATCAAGACAAACTCTTTCGTCAGTTCCCCGGGCGTTTTGGATAAAAGAGACTTTTGACTAGAACCTTTCAGTTTCTGATCCCAGCTAAACTGGATTAATTGATTAATTTTGCTGCTTACAAAACATGACGAAATTACCACACTGAATTGGCATAAATAGTAACCAACAGATGCCTTGGTTGCATGGACAAAAAGTATAATTCAAGCAGAATCAAATAAATAGAGAAAAGTAAGTACTGATGATCTAGAAATCCCTCCCATGCCTTCGGATCAATGGACCGCTAGACAGGGTTCAAATGTGAGTTCTGAGGTACAGTAATACCCCAATTATTTGAGGATTTGTGGCAAAGGTGGCGTTACATGATCAAAACCAACAAAAAAACTGGAAAATGCCATTTTGGGCTCTAGTTGTACCTAGAGAGCAAACTTGGTTAATGCTCTATCATAATTGTAAATTATAGTCATTTAATTGGGGAAAAAAACCAATGCATACTTAATTTTTGTCTCAAAAACCAGTTTTAGTCATAATGTCAAACATAAGTTGGACCAAAACTCAATTTTAACTATGCTGCATAAACAGGGTATTACTGCATGTTGAATGTAATGAGGATTTTTCCACATTCAACTATTAAGGGTGGAATTTGCATTTCTAATGTCTGTCAATTTAAACTTTAGACTAAAGAACCTAAGTGTGCTCGGGTCAAACTGGGCATTCAACTGGGCATATTTCAGAGATCATTCGAATATGTTAATTTTTTCATTCTAGTAAATTTTTTAGGGTCGTAGGAGAAAAATGTGTTATAGAAATTTACTTATCACCGTGTCTAGTGGTCTATTATAGAAAATTAATTTATAGCTTTTAAAGCAAAGTTAATCAATAAATACAATTGCAAGATGGGACCCTAACAATCCAAGTCCCTGAATCACCAACCCGTTGACGTTCCTTGAATTATACGTGATTCATAATTTGAGATCAATGATAAACCTGCTCATGGCAGGCGACAATCAATCCAACTCCATTCATGTAACATCAATTTCACATAAAAGCGTGTCAAATAAGAAAAAACCAGAAGCCAGCAAAAAATGTGACACTTGTTCAAATCATTGATTAATCATTCGATAGGATCAATGACAAAACGGAGAAGTTTGTGGGCAGTATTTAGTCTCCTTGACAACACATGCTGTTCCAGATAAAGATAGACTTAGGACGCACAATTTGGATACAATTTTCTGACTGGTCAGATAAATTTATGATTTCGCAGAATCAAATGCGTGTATTCGCTGATCCAAACCAACTACAGATTGAAATATTATAACTTGTCCTCATAGACAGATTTTCTTGCATTTTTATTTTATTTCCAATCTTTTCATAGATCGAGATAGATGCTACGAGTTTGAAATAAATCTCATCTGTTTTTGTTCATTTATAAAAACCAAAAAAACTTTCTTGGTGGCTTAAATCTCAATCTTTGACAAATACAAGTTGATTGAATGAAACGCTATGACAATATGTCAACATCTTAATGACCTATGAGTTTATCCTAACAGTTGAGCTTCCTAGAAAAATAATTTTTGGAGAGTTAAACAAAAAAATCTATTTATTAATTCTTTTTACTTCAGCAGAGACGATTGTTTTGTTCAATTAAAAGACTTCCTCCTAGTTAAAGTAAAAAAATAGTTCAGTCTTTTTTCAATCGTGAATGAGATTTTTTACAAATTAAACTCTTTTGCTCTACATGTGCAGTTTTTGCTGAGGTCTGCAATACAAAAGATATTATTGTAATGCAAAAATCTTCTTTTTCTTGATGATTCTCAAGACGGAATTAGAATATCTATCTGGAACCATGACCAAAATGCTGATGGAAACCGTTCAGACATATGAGCCTGATTTTAACAGATCAAGAGAAGAAATCCAAACAAAAAGTAATTGTCCGAAATTAAGGCTTAAACTATAAAGTACTCGATTGTAAAAAAAAAGAAAACAACAAAACTTATGAAAAAAACAAAACACTTAACATTATTCCACTGGTACAAAAAGGTAACAATGAGTTACACTCAGTGAGGGAGATATAACCTGAAAAAAATTGATGTTCTGTTTAGTTAGCGTCTTCTTGGAAGCAAATTAATAAAGTTGAAATCTGTTGTTTGCACAGTATCCTGTTCAGAAAGGAATGAGTGGCTTCTTTGTAAGTTTTGATTGCTGACTGCTGTCCTTCATGACTTCTATTGGACAAAAAATAAGGAAAGGATTAATTAAAATAGGCACACCAGTGACCAACTGCATTTTCAAAAACCCAGCTAGCCATGAAGCTAAATTGAGCTACTGAGTTTAAAAAAAAAGGCTTAATGCACAGAAAGGTAAATTTTTTAAGGAGCGTATTTTCGTTGATGATCGGTCGAACCAAAATGGTTGGATCATGCAGTTTCGTATTTTGTTTTGACGTGATCATAATTTTCAGAACAACATCGGGACTCACCATACGGATAGAAGGTGGAACTCATGCAAACGTTGGAGCCAAAATGTAATCCTAAAAAAAAGTAGGGTTCCGAAATGACCTGATGAAAATGATGGCATCCAACCAGTATCAATTTTGAAAGTCTAACCTCAAATGTTTACCAACCTGATTATGATCTCGCCGCCATTAATACAGAATTTTGGCTCCGCTTAAGAAAATGATCATTGACATTAAGTCAGCCTAAAAATTTAGAGCTTGAGTTTTTGATGGCCAACTCTTTCCAGTTTACCCAGAGTGAGTTTAAAACACTACAGCCATTTTTGCAGCTAAAGAGCGCTACAGGGAGGGGCAGAGGTTGCATTTAAATACAAAAATTTTTAGCCTCAATTATCTAATCTCTTAAGACTTTCCAAACTTTTTCTCAAAACTGCGTTTTTGGAACCGCAAACATCAAACCCTCTTATCTCCAGTTTAATCCCAATTTTGTAGGTCCTTTTTTTTTATAGTGCCAAAATATTTGCGAAACACTTATTTGTGTCACAAAACCGATAACTCCATTTTGAATTTTTCTGCACAAGGGATCATTTTCATATTGACGGTCATGCTTAGAAACAATGGTAATCAATTGAGTCAAAACGCATTAAATTCAAGCAGCTACAAATAAAAAGCTAAAAGTTTGCCTCCAAGCTCATTGAAGATAAAATTGAACCATTTTTTTAAATGGAGGGGTACTGAAAAATTTTCATTCATTGCAAATTTCAATGCAACATTAATTTCACTGAGAAAATTCAACCGGAGCATACAAAACTTCCCTCTATAACAGTATTTAACACTTCTGAAAAATCTTGAAAGTTTACGAACAGCGAACATTTCAATCATAGGACTAGAAATTTCCTGGAATTTGGTTTTTGCAAAACTCCCTTTCCTAAACAATGCTTCAATCCACAACATTTTACAAAGAAACTGAGAGGCAGAGATGACAGTAGAGTCTCAAAAAAAAGTTGCAAGTAGAAAGTACAGTAAAGCAAAAACTTACCATTCAAAATTCCTAGAGATTCGTAGGTCTCCAAAGTCTTTAAACGTTCACCAGCAGCAACGCTTCCGTGATCGGCTGCCATTCGGTACAATTGCATCGTGAGCTGTAGATCTTGAGAGTCTCCTGTAGAACCTAAGAGTAAATTAAAGTTAATAAAATTGATAATAATTAATGAGCAGTAGCATTACCAGAGTCTTCTTGAGTCTACAGGGAACAGCAAGTATCAATATAAATTGCTGCAAAGTCTCCTCATACCAACCCATCTTAGGATATTTACTGGAGCCTTAATTTAACAAATTGTATTATTTTTTTCTCTTTCTTATTCTCCCTCTCTCTTCATAGATCCCTTTTGTATAATATTTTCTTTAAATGCCTTCTTACTTTTCTAATCCTCACTCTTTGCGGACTTGGTTTAAACCTGTCTGCAAAGAGCTCCTCTGAAAACCCTTTCTTTTTTTTAAGAGATTTTGTGAATCACGTAAATTATAACAATTAATGATAGTGAGAAACTTAAACTTGTTCATAACTTATGGAACTGGAGGTCTTAGAAATTGCAATAGAGTAATATTTTTAACTATATACCCCTGAAGTCCAAGAACAGTTATATAATGATTTGTCTCTGTATGGTTGAGACATTCAGTATAAAATCAAGTTTCCAAAAAGACCTAGATAAAATTCTTGAATGATTCATTCAAGTCCAAATCAGCAAAAGGACAAAAATTTCAATCGACTAACTGCCATCAAAAATAATATAGGGATGACGGATGAGACTTCCACTAGCCCCCCTCAAAAAAATGTCATCTAGTTATACCCTGCTTTGGTACTAACCTTCATAGTACACAGCCAAATTGTACAGAGCCTCTGCATTACCGCTGAGTGCTGCCTTTGAGTAAAACTCAGCAGCCATTGGAAGATTCTCATCAACACCCCAGCCATTCTCATAGCACATCCCAGCATAGTATTCCGTCACTGATGGTTCCTGCTCTGCACTTGAGCAACCTGAGTCCGTCCAAAGCGGAGTAACCGGGATGCTTCCACTTCCTGAGTCCTTTCCGTTGGAGCTATGGCTTGCGTCCGATCCAAACTCACTTGTTGAGGAGAAGCTGAGCTTTTTGGCTGCATCGTGGAGGCTGCTTGACTTGGAGACATGTGGAGAAAACGCAAATGATTGAATTGTATTGCTGATCTTGCGAATTTTTTCGGCTGAGGGACTTGGGTTGGGCGACAATTTCAGGTTGATAGGACACTCCTCTGATTCTAATTTCAGTGCCGATATGGCGTCTGGCTGGCCAAGAGCTGCTGCAGATGCTAGGAATCGGCGAGCGACTTCCGGGTCAGCTTTGACTCCGCCCCAGCCGTGGGCATGGAAGACTCCAAGGTTGTACATAGCTCCAGCGTGACCCCAGTCGGAAGCTTGTTGGTACCAGTGAGCAGCCTGAAAATAAAATCAGCATTCTTAAAATTTGATTTGAACACAGTTGGAGAGTGATTATTACAAAGAGTAATGTTTTTTTTCAAAGGAAAAGTGACAGATGCTCAACGTTATTTTTGCAATGTTTCCCTTAATTTCTTCCTTTTCCAACTCCTTGACATTCTCTAAAGTTTTTTCTTTTCTTTGACACAAAAATTTTAGATTTACTGACTTTTCCTGAAAATAAAATAAAACTTCCACTTAGAGTTTTCTCTATGTAATCACCATTACTTCTGCTATATGCTGCTCGCAAAATTCCCTGACTCATTTGACGAATTTTCTACCTTTCCCTCACTTTTACAGGTTGCCACTAAGTCCCTGACTTTCCAGGATTTTGGACCACCAGAAACCCTGTTTTAGTTATAACAAATTCAGAGAGTATGTGAATGTTTAAATACTATATTAACATTTTCTGACAAAACTTACTAACTAACTAACAAGTTGCTCTTATAACGCTTCTGGGCGCTCTACGACACCCAACCGCCACTGATAGCCATCCTTCCAGAGCTTCTGACAAAACTTATCATCGGTAAAAGAACGAAAACACATGGATCTCAGATTTCAACATTGCAGATTCTCCTACGCGCATACCTGATAGTTATTTAATTTTTCAAGAACAAAGTACATACATACATTCCAGTCGCTTTACAGCGCGCTCAGGCGCTCTGAGACACCTAATCGCCATCCTTGCCTATCAATCCAGAGGTCATCTGGTAGATGGCATCTTGTGATTTCATCTTGAATGCCACCAATCCACGATTTTGCTGGGCGTCCCCTACGTCTTCTCCCAGGAGGAACCCAATCTAGCACCTTCTTAGGCAACCTGTCATCCGCCATTCGTTGAACATGACCATACCAGACAAGCTGTTTGGTCATAATTTCATGCACGATGTTCTGCTCGGCGTTCATGATCTCACGGACTCTTTTGTTCCTTACGTGATCTCTCCTCGAGATTCCGGCTGATCTTTGCCAGAAATCCATCTCAGTTGCCTTAAGAATCTTTTTGGTAGAACAAAGTACATACTTCACATATTTCCCGTTTGAAATTTCTACAGATTTTCTTTTGTGTAAAAGTTTTCAGACACTGACATAGGTTTGTTTTCCCTATGAGAGAATGAGGCAAACTTCTAAAATTTAAAACACCAAAATCCAAATAATTATTTTAAACTTTCACCAGCATGATTGATATCTTTTATGGAGAAGGATACCTATACATAATCTGTTTGCTGAATTATTAACTGATTTCTACGCACGGTATGTAGTTTTTCACTTTCCATCAAATGTCAAAAAAAAAAAAAATCAGGGTTAAATGTTGGGAAGGCTACTTTCAATTTTTTTTTTTTAGAGCTTCTTATTCGGTAACTATTTTATCAAACTGCTTCCTCAAACAAAGAAATAAAATAATTTTTTCTCCTTATTTAGACAAATTTTGAAAGGGACACTTTTGATGGGTACAATGAAATAGCTCATTATTTTGTGACAAAACATCTGCTACCAATCCTCCAACTCAACGATTCACTGCTCACCACCTACCACCTATAAACAGTTTTCTTTTTCTTTTTATTCATTTTGGATCTACTGACTTCAAAATTTCACTTTCGGTTCTCCTCCAACTTATTATCAAATTTTTCTATACAACTTAAATTTATGCGAGAAATATTTTACCATTTTGAAGTCTTGACTTGTGCCTAAGCCACGCTCGTAGCATAATGCTAAATTGTAGGCAGCAGGAGCATAGTTAAATTTTGAGGCCTCTTGGAAGTGTTTGACAGCTCGACGATAGTGTTTTTGTTCTATGCACTCCATCCCGTGCTGGTGTTCGACTTCGGCCATGATATCTGCGCGTACTTTCACCAGTGCCTCCGCTGCATCTTCCAAGGCCTGTAATATTAAAACATTGAGTTTAGACAATGAGTCTAGAATCACTTTGAAGTCTAAGGAGCGAATTGAAATTAGAAAAACATCCCTCATTATCAACTGCTATCTTAGTTAAGTGAGGACACTTGGCAATGAGAACCGAGATGAAACCAAATCCCTCCTTATCTAAATTTTCTTGAATTTCTCATTAAAACGCCAAATTGATTTTATATCTTGGATTAAAATATATTTTCCATCTGTTCTGAAAATTGAAATGGATTGTTTTTATACTTTAAAGTAAAGTCTGTCTATGCTAGAAAGAAAGACGTTGAGCAAAAGCTCTAAAAGCAAGTTATATTACTCCGTAAAAATAGAGAAAGGTTCTTAGTACAATCGTTAACAACAAAGAAAAGTGAGTTTCTGATCATGGAAAGGAAATCACAGAATGGATAGGGTTTAACAGAAATGTGGCAAGTAGCATTTTGGAGAAAATGAGTTGGGAGTGGTTAAAAATTTAACTAGTTATGCCTTGTCTCCCGTCAAAAATTCAAAGTCAAGAAACAATAATTTCAACGTGAGAACGTTACGCAGAATGTGTTTTTAACATTGAGCCCTATGAAGGGATAAAACCTCAAACCAGTTTTTTTTTGCTTCAAATTTGATACAACTAGGTGGATTTTATCCAAATGACATTATCAGAAATTTTCATGAGCCCTTGACTACAGTAGATCCAGCTTTGTGAAAGATTGCATACCTGTTCGGCTGATATGGGACCATATTCAACTAGATTGACTGACGAATCAGTCTGAGGTAGAGCAGGAAGGATACTCCGGACAGAAATGGGTTGAGCAAATGCGACATTGCGGATGAGCTTGAACAAGGTAACGTATCTATCCTCATGCTGCTGGCGTTGCGTTTCAGAGTCGTAATGACAGCCCCATCTTAAGAAAGGCTGCCAGGCATACCAACCCAACACTAGCGCACCACTCTAGAAAATTCCAACCAAATAAATTAAAGTTTATCGAGACCATTCGCTACTTATGCTCGGTAATGGAGAGTTTGCACACAAAAATTTTATTGCTTCAGCTGAGAGTGCCTAATGAGCTGAGTTTGCAGTATTTTTCATAATTCATTTCTGACATGGAAAATTGGAGAAAAGTAGATTTGAATGTGAGAAAATGTGCTGCCTTGTGACGTCATCTGGCAGCATTTCCCATTTAAACACGTGTATTTTAGCAGAATAGGTTATTTTGTGATATTTCCTCTAATAATTGTCCAATTTAGAAACCATGGATATTTTCATGCTCAGTTTTTCTAGTAGTACCATTTTAAAGATGAAATTTACAAAATTTAAGATTTTAAGACCTGCAAATTCTCCATTATTAACTTTCATAAGATTTTCTCAATCTTTTTCTTACCTTCTAAATCCTGATTGCCTCAAAATTAGCAGTTGACAATTTAAACTTTTAGAGTTTAATCATCGTGCTCAGTGAAATAAAGAATTGAATGTCACAAAATGTTGAAAGTTAGCTAAAATTAAATCACTTATAGTAAGTACCAAGATAGGGTATTCCAAGATGTTCTTCAAGTCGAATACTTCTTTATATATATATAAAGTCGCTTTACAACGCACTTCGGCGTTCTACGACACCCAAACGCCACATATGCCTGTCTTCCCAGAGGTTATCGGGCAACTGACACCGCAACATCTCTTCGTCAACGCCCTGCTGCCAACCCTTTACGGGACGCCCCCGTATTTAAGAAAAAAAAGATAATATATGATATGGAGCAGTGGCTTTGTGTACATGGAAACTAGTTCCTCGCAAAATAAGTGTTGCACTTTCTCAATGGTACCTACCTTACAATTTTAATTGTTTTAACTTTGCTACACTGCTTTTCTTTTGAATGGAAAAATGTTAGTCTCTACAATAATAAATTGAACATTATAAAGATGGACATACGTCCAGAAAAGCTATTATATGAGAATTTCAATGAGAAGATGGGTACACTGGGTACTTTCTTCATCTTCATCAGTATCCTTCAGGGTTCCTATTTCAAAATAAAATAACCAATGTTTTACATAATCAGTTACTTACCCATCCAACTGCACCCAGCCATGCATGTGGATGCTTTAGGTGTAGGTCCTCCCATGAATTGTCAGCCTTTTCTTGCCGATTTTTACGGAAATGACTGCTGAGGGTAGAACAAAACTGTTTTGGGACATGAGACTCAAAGTACTTTGCCAGACAACACTTGTGTTGTTTCTTGAGTTTGTCAGGATCAAAATCTTGGATTTGCCCGGTGACTGCCTTGCATTGTTTTTTCGACTTATTGAAGTGAAGGCATTCTGACTGAAGGGCTATTAAACGGTCAATGCGATCTGAAAATTCTTTGAAGCCGCGAGATATTTTCCACATTTTCAAGAGGACTATTCACAGCAGCTTGAAGAGACCACCTGCAAAAATTATGGAAAAAATTATAATCAATGCCATGCAAGTCCTCAAGTGGAGATGAATAATTGGGCAAAAATTTCTACTATTTGTGGGCGGCTTGGCAAATGAACTCGCAAGTCTTGTGACTGCAGAAAAGTAATATTACAATAATTTCATTTGATAAACAGTAGTACACTACTCATTATATGCCAAGTAAGTACTTTAGTCCTTAAGTACTGAGTTAAAATTCATAACTGTTATTCCCAACAAAAATTGGTTGCTGCAAGTAAGCTGGCATACTTCCAGAGTCGACCGCTCAGGTATGCACATTCCTTCCATAAGGTGAAAGTAACATGACAAGGGGACATAACTACTCAAACATTTTATGAATACTAAAATAAGACCAATGTTGACTAGATGTCAACAAAACCAAGCGGAAACAAAGGAAGGAAACTTTGCTCAAGAGTCCAGCAATAACCTAAAAGGGTATGTTTACACTCTCAATGCTTATAATCATTAATTCCTCAGTTCCTGCCTTCATGACTAGAAAACACTGGGTTTGTCAAAAGTTCTATAAATTCATTCCCTATTCTTGCGATTTTGACAAAGATACAAGAAACATCATACTTCAGGGTACAATGAATTGATTGAAGAAACCGTCTCGCAGAGATTTCAAAACTCTCGCATTTGACAAGATTCTCAAAAGCTTCAAACGTTGGACAAAGATATAAGTTCATTTCGCAACGTGTTACTGAAAAAATTATAAACTACATACAACAAAAATAGTCAAAATGAGTAAAAGAGAAAAAAACATTTTACGCACGATGGAACGACAGATCTTGACAGCAAAAATGTTTCAAAAAGCATAAAACATTTTAACGACACAAACAAACACTGTCCTCGGAAATCTTTGTAGCACTAGCAAGTTTCGAAATAGTTGGAATCACATTTTTAAAACTTAGGAAATTTTTTTCCCTCGCGGAAGTCAAAGTTTACCGAAAAGTCGTAAAGTTCGCGACTTTCTGTCGCGGGGTACCTCTTGGGTCTAAATTGACGGTCTAACCTTTTCAAGTCTAACTAGGTTTACGTCCAAAGTGTTAGCGTCTAATTGTTGAGACCTTGATAGATGTAAAAGATACTTACATTAAACTAATTGGACGTTAAAAATTCTAACAGATTGGCGGGTTGATTTTCTTTCATGTTATCTTTTCAGACCAAAAAATGTCGTTACCTCGAGAAAACAAATATTAGTTCCAACGCTCATTATTAGACGTAATTGGTTTAGACGTGAACGATGGATTAGACGTTAACTATTTGGACAATGATTTAGACCCAAAAGGTACCCCCATCCCCCCCCTTTCCATCTGGTCGTGTGGGTCACGCGAGTAACCTAACCTCTCATTGCACGACTTCCCATAATTTTCCATTATGCCCGTTCATTGACTTACATCTTACAGAAGTCATGTGTCGGCGCGCACTTGTAATTACAATTAACCGTCAAAAATGATTGCACGATTAGATTAATAATCTGTGACCAAATACTTGATTGACTCTACGCCAAACAGCACCATTCCAGTCCGTTAAAAATGGTAAGTTATCTCTTATCACAACTCCTGTTTGAAGGGTACTGTTACAACACCTCCATGGTATTTCTCTATAAATCGAAGAATTTATCCCTTTTTGTCTGGTACTGACCACTTTTTTTTCTCTGGTTTTAGTATCAAATCAGGAAGGTAGAATGTGGTCTATCTCTAGTGAGGATCTCAATACCCCTCATCACTCGCTCAACACAACCGAATGTTATCTCTTCACCAGGTCCTAGCTACCTACGGCTGGTACGTATATAGATTTGTGTTTCTCATTCGCTGTTCTTCAATGGGCTTATTAATTACCAAGTTCTGCGCTGAAGAGCACTCTGCCGTCTCGAAGAAGAGCAATTCAAGGCTCACTTCTTGACGAAGGTGTGCTGTTGCTTATACGATGACACCACTCAATTTTTTTATCAGCCAAAGATAAATCTGGCATCAGCTAAACTCGGATGAGGTGTTTCTCAATTTTGGAGTTTTAATTTCTACTCCTGTTATTTTTATCAAGAAAATATATCAACCTCGTTGCTTGAAATTTTTTCTCATTATTCTGTCAGATGAGAGAAATAATCAGGGAAAGGACCTAGCAAAAAGAACCAAGAAATTAGGTACCTTGATCTATTATATACAACCTAATGCGTTGAATAAGGTATGAAAATTGGATTCTCAATGTGCCGTCATGACAAAAGCAGGGTTGAGCAGTGAATACTTCACTTACAGAAACTACTCAACATATCTTTTTGCAAATGTCCTTGATTTTTCTGTCCTCTGCATATAATGCACTGTGAAAATTTCAAGCTTCGATGCCGATTTGGTTTCTTTTCAAAAATGAAACATAGAGATTTTGAAATGCCTTAATCGAGGTTCATATTTTTGCTGTTTCTCAATCGATTTACCTTCTGGCTACTAATCAAATGTATCGACTCATTAATTAAATTGCCCAACTATTCATTTATGTACGCTGCATTGCTGCTATACTTAGGATAGACGCCATATGAGCATTCAGGAGTCGCCAAAGAACCCTGCACCATCCTTATGGGAAATCCCCCCCAGTAAAACCTGATGAAACTTTGATATGTTGCTCAGCTAGCCATTCTAATCAAAAGCTCTCACGGGTCCAAAAAGATTCCATGTGCATTTTCGAGATATTCGCTGTTTTATATGTGTGAACGGAGGTCTGGCTGGCGTCCTCGCATATATAACGAAGAATATCTCGAAACATCACATGGGATCTCTTTGAGCCCGTGAGAGCTTTTGATCAGAATGACTAGCTGAGCAACATATCAAAGTTTCATCAAGTTTTACTGGGGGGGGGGGGGATTTCCCATAAGGATGGCGTGGGGTTCTTTCTCCTACTAAAACAATAATTTCTACGGATAGCTAGGAATATTCTTCCTTGAAATTTTCACCTACTCTAGATCAAATTGCAAAGAAATTTTCTGTAAAATTGGAAGAAAATTGTCCACAAGTCTCCTTGAAAATTCGCCCTTTAAAAAAAATAAATTTAGCAATGCCTGGTGGCTTATATGGCGTTTTTCCACATCATGTTAGTGTGGAAGTCAGTTACAGGAAAAAGTCCATAAAGCTGGTTTCCACTCGCAGTTCATGAGAGATTGAGTGAATGTCCCCTGACACTTCACAAAGCATGAGGCAAGTGAAGCCAACTGCATTTTTACACAGTTTCATCAGAGAAGTTTGGTACAGAAGTATGAATGTTGACAAATGCACTTTAATGTTTCAGTGTCGTAGCTACGCATCTCCTCCATCTAAGAGACCAAATTTTTTCACTCAGTTCGTAGAAAATGTAAAACAAGAAATTGCCAAGAATAAAGAGATGAAAGAGAGTCTGAAGAAATTTAGGGAAGAAGCCGAAAAATTAGAACACTCGGAAGCTCTGCAGAAAGCACGGTAAGTAAGTTTTCATTAAAATGGGTGAGTAGCAAGAGTGCTTTTGCTGTTTGATATTCACGTAATCTTGGAATGAGAATTTTGCAGTATTAGCTCCTGATACAGTTCCTTATTACAATTGCTTCTTACTAGACACAGTTTATAAGGTTCCTCTTTGAGCTGGAGCCAAGAATCATCCTCCAAAATTGTCGGTAGACTTTTGGAATCACCATCAATTTGCGGTGAGCGGAGGGAAAGGAGACACAAGACAGCATGTCACTTTGTCAACACCGTGTCTTGGTGAATGAATGTGACAATAGTGGGCCAAGCCCGATGAGACAAAATTAGAGGACTCAGCACAAGCATGGGTCCATAATTTTATATGCAAGTGAAAAAAAATACTAATGGTGTGTCTGCAAAAATTATCCAGTCTGATGATTTTTCTGCATTAAGAGTCAATTAAATTTGATCGACATAGTTTCTGTAATTGTCTTGTTTTTGAGCAAGTAACAGGAATCCTTTCACTCTGCCTGTTCAGGATTCAGCTGCTCAGAGAAGAAGTCACATCCTGACCTACTGAAATGGTCTAAAGAAAAGCTTGACATGCCATAGCTTGATGTGTCACTAGTGAGAGGGTCCTCCTTTGAAAATGTTGATATTTTGGGGGTGTGCCCCCTCCTTGGAGGGTCGTGCCTTACCATAAAATTTGCCCCCTCAATGCTCAGGACAACAGCCCATAACCGGAGTATTTTAACTCAATAATTGAAAAGTTATGGCGAATTGATGAAAAGTTTTGTTTTTTACCCATCTGGGTATGTGATTTTTTCGTGGAAAGCGTTTTATTCTTTTTTCTTGTTTAGAACTACGCGTTGGCCACATTCCATGGTCCGAGAAAGTATCCGTCACACGATATTGTAAAAATCATTCACTCATGTGGCACTTGCAACATTGCTATGTACATATCCTGGGCCCTTCGGTTGATTTTTCTAATTGCTTTTTCAAGCAAATTTTAATCCATTTTTTTTTTCATACAGGCAAAAATATCAGAGTGTTGAGTCTGAAGCCTCACGTAGCTCGGAAGTTTTCAAGGACAAACTAGGTTCTATTAAAGGCAAAGTTTCAGAAGTTTTTGAGGAGGCTAGCAAGTCTGACATAGCCAAAAAAGCAGGTTAGTGTCAAAAGTGTGCTTGTTTAATTTGGTGACAGCTCAACTCTTACTTCACAAGGCCCCATGCAGAAACCAAAATTCTAAGAAATTTTTATGCAGGAGCGCCAAAAATACTTGAACATACGTAGAAGCTTTGAGGTGATTCATCAAGCTCAAGTTACGTGGTTGAACTGGCATGCGATATATTGCATTGATTAGGTCAAAAATCTCGGCAGATTTTGAATTTTTAACAAAAAAAAGACAATAGCCAATGCTCATGAGCCTAAAGAATCATTGTAAACCCGGAAATTGGCAAAATTCAGAGAAATGAAAGCAGAATAGTGTTCGGAAAAAAACTTCGCATTCGATTCTGCTATCGATTTCTGTATCGAATGCGAAGTGTTTTTTATAACACTTTTTATTTCGAATTTTGCTGATTTTTGGGTTTAAAATGATTCTTTACGCTCATGCGCAGGGGCTATTGTCCTTTTTTTTTGCTAAGAATTCAAAATCTGCCGAGATTTTTGACCTAATCAATGCGATATATTGCATGCCAGTTCGACCAAGTAACTTGAGCTTGACGAATCACCTTAACTTAAATAAGAAGAGAAAATCTGTGAGCAGGCGAGGGAATTTTTCGGCAATCTCTCCCAAGTAAAGAAAATCATTTCACTGCATAAAATTTTGCAATTTTATGGTTCAATTCGTACCTTCAACCGTTATGCAAAGTGAGGAAATTTTCCAAGTATAATGAAATTTTTAGTTGAAGACAGTGTCCGTTTTTTGCTTTGCAGAAGTTTTTGCACCATTTGGTCTATTTATATGAAGAATTTTCTTCAAAACAGGATGTCTACCGTCAGTAAAAACGAAAAAATATCAGAAAATTTGATGTCCTCAAAAAAAATTGGTCATGCATCAGAAGAGGACACGCAGTTTAGCACATGCAAAAGTGAGACAACATGTGATACAGTGCATTGAATATTTTGGTTTGTTACAAACCAAAATAATGACACGCCTTTGTCTAATCAAAGGCGTGTCAATTTATTGGAGTAAAAATGTAGGAGATCTCATTTGAAATATCGGAAAAAATCAGGATGATATCAGGAAAATCTAAAATGAGATTTGAGTAGACACCGTGTAAAATGTTATGGTAAGAGGAATAAGCATAAGAAAAATTTGAAAGCAAAATTTCCTTTTCCGTGATAGCAATTCCCCCCCCCCCCCCNTACGAAAAGTGTTACTCGATTTTTCTCGTGCTGAAAAATCAAGCTATTTTTCTCTCTATCCATCCAGGACACATCAAAGAAGAGTTGGGGAAAACAGCGAGAGGAGCAGCCGAGTCTTTAAGCGAAAAAGGATCGAAAATCGGTAAGACAGGGGCATTCCAGACGATAAGTCAAACTGCAGAAGCCGTAAAGAAAGAACTAGACAACACCTCGATCCATGCCACTGTCTACTCAGCGCCAAAGAAGCTAAGGAAGCGTGTGGAAGCTGCGGCAGATTCCAAAGTTTACCAACCAAATGAAGATGCCACAGGAGTGGAATTGCACAAAGACTCACGGTAATTTCCATTATGCTAACCTTTTTCAATGAGCTGGAACTTTAGGACATTTAATACTTAACCTACTATAGACAGATGTAACAGGTGTACAGATCTAACACCAACCCTCCACTGCTCAGTATGTCCATTTTCAATGGCTGATTTCCAGCGGCGAATTCTGAATCATCGGCTGTCGATATTTGGACCACATTTTGCAATAAGGAACTGCTATTTCTGGCTCCATCATAAGAGCTCCTCTCTGCATAGGGAAACCAATGGCATATATGCTGCCTCTCACACAAGTCAGAAGTAGTAGTTCCAAATTGCAAAATGCTGTCTTTGTATCATCCATTTAAAGCTATAGCGAAGAATCTATTACCAAGGTTTTCGTTGTGAACAATTCGATAATCGGTCCTTTTCTGTAGGTTTGAGCAAGCCCCTCTGCCATTGCTAATCTCTGATTTTTGTGAAGTTGGGAGGAGTAATTGGATTTTAAAGTTTTTAGTGGCAATCAATCGCCTTTAGTATCTCTAAGATCAAGTTATGAGTGGCAATTTTGCAAGTTTTTTTTCTCTTCTACCAACAGAGAGTGAATTTTTTTAACATCTAATTATCTCAATCCCTAAATTTAGGAGAGTAAAAAATTAACAATAACTGTTCCTGAGAACTATTTCTGAACTGCAAACCTGAGTCCACTGAAAGTCCAGTTCGATTTAACATTTTTGGGATTTCATATGTACCCTAAATTCTTGTAAAGCACTCCTCTATACCACCAAAATCACAGCATTGAGTTTTTCAGCAAACAGATTCCTTTTGCCTTGAGCTCTCTTTTATCAGGGAAACAAGTTGAAAATTTGAATGCTTGGGCTGTTATTCTTGTCATGACTTCATTGTATCTGTTGATGCTGTCAGCTCCTCTCGTAAAAAATTGTAGTATTCATTGATTTTAATCATCTACAACCATGAAATCTTTTTCAGGTTTTCGCAAAGTTGGCAGCAATTCAAAGACAACAATCAATATATCAACAAACTCCTTGACTGGAAAATGCGATACGATGAGAGTGACAATCCGATGGTCCGAGCTTCACGATTCTTCACAGACAAAGTCTCAAGTGCGGTAGGAGGTATCTTTCAAAAAACCGAACTATCAGAAACACTGACTGAAATCTGCAAACTAGACCCTAATTTTGACAAGAACGAATTTCTTCTCCTCTGCGAAAAGGAGATTATTCCAAATATCCTGGAGTCAATGATTCGAGGGGATTTAGACATACTCAAAGACTGGTGCCATGAAGCTCCATTCAATGCCCTCGCTACACCCATCAGACAGGCAAAGACCGCTGGGTATATCTTCTGTTCCAAGGTCATAGATATCGATAATGTCGACCTGGCAATGGGAAAAGTCATGGAACAGGGTCCTGTTCTTGTGATCAGTTTCCAGACACAGCAGATAATGTGCCTTAGAGATCGGAGCAACAAAGTGATTGAGGGCGATCCAGAGAAAATCCTCCGTGTCAATTACGTTTGGGTGCTGTGCCGGGATCGGAGCGAGTTGAACCCGAGAGCCGCATGGCGACTCTTGGACTTGTCGGCAAACAGTGCTGAACTGCTTGTATAAATTGTTATTAGAGTTCTTGTTAGTGTAATCTAATTGAATTTTGTTTTCATTGTACATTTTCCCTGTATAATTTTGTAAATAGCCATCATGCGTTTGTACATTTTAAGCCGTTTGTTTCTGATCCAGTCATTTTTTTCTAAGAAAAAAAAATTTTATTCTCTCTTAATTTTGCTTTGTCTCTCTGACCTTTTTCTCGGAGCAAAAAGGCAGAATTTTACTTATCCTAGTTTCCTGTCTCTGTGAACATTTTATTTTTTCATGGGAGAACCGTCGCATGAATTTGTTTGTAAATATTTGTCTTTTCTCTCAGGTGTTGAGAAAAATCACTGAAAATTTCAGTCAAATTAATGTGACACTTTTCACAAGAAAAAATAAACTATTATGAAATACTGAAACAGCGCAGTCAAGATTTGTTTTGTTGTGCAGGCGACGACGGATCGACCCACTGAGTGTAGAAAGGGCTTTTCTTCGCTGTGCTATCTCAGAATCTCTTCTGAAGTCGTCATTATGATCCAAGGATTGAATTTGTTGAACCTTTCACTGAATTTTCACTATGATTTCATAATGCTCCAAACGAAAAATTTCAAAAATTCACTCAGAAGTTTCCTCTCTAAAATCTAGATCAGCAGTGATTTTGAAACATTGCAACCAAGAAGTGCACCCAGCGTCTCTATCGAAAGATTTGTAAGGAAGGTGCTCAGGTGCAGTTTTTGCTATTTCAAGAAAGAAATGTTTAAAGTTTCAAAATTACATGAAGCCTGGTGGCTGAAAAAAAGTTCAAACTCAGTTTTGGATGAATAAAAATTGGAATATTAGGAGTGAATTTTTCACAGAATATATTTGAAGAAAAGTTAAGTAGAGTTGAAATAATTAATATCTTAATTGCTTGAAAAAACACTTATGCGCCTTGTCCTCCAAGGCTTTCATTTATTCTAGAAGGTGACATCGACTACTTCCAACCAAAGTATCACAGCGCCAAGTGAACGCGAATTTCCATAGGACTAATGTAAAACGGAAAAAAGTTAACGGCTACTAGAAACACGTCAAAGACTTAAATTTTTAATACACATTTAAAATCACTCTTAGCATCTAATTTGGATGAAATTTGAAGAGAAAATTCAAATAAATAGTCCATTTTGGCGCTTGTGATACTTGGTTTTGCCATTTGCCATTTAAATAATATTCTCTTCTTTTGGAATTTTCAGGAACATTTCAGTGATCTAGTACAATGTTTACAAAAAAAAAAAAAAAAAAAAATATTCTAAGATTTCAGTGGCAGTGGTTTCAAGATCTATATTTTTCTAAATGGTTCAACAGATTCCAACAGTAACATTTCCAAACGCTTCATCGACGGTGATCTAATGCTCTTCTTGCTTGCCATTGCTGTGAATATCTCTGTCCCGAATGCAACCAATAAAGTTTTCAGTAGTTTCCAAACGGTTCTCCTCGAACAGTTTCTGTGCGTCAGGATGACTTCCAACATAGAGTGGGTCTTTGATGTCAGTTCTAAATGAGCCTCCAATACCAATGCCTGACTCCACGAACACTTTGTTCACACTCAGTGACACAACGTTCTTTGCTTTTACAGCTAAAAAATAGAGAGAATGTTCAATGATTCTGTTGCAAAGATGTAATCATGTACTACACTATCATGAACTTCTTTATTGGAAAAAGAGGAAAAATTCGGATGTGCAACTTGCCTTCACATTTAAACACAGGCTTTGTTCCCTGTTAAAGCTAATCACTGATTAATGACTACAATCTGCATGCCGAGGTAATTCCTAGACTTTCATTTGGGAGATTTTGTTTGATTTTCAACACAAGATTTAATTGAAATCGATTAATTCATTTTCAATGAGGTAAGCTCACACAAGATATCTGACATGAAATAAAATTCAAAATCAGGAGGTTGGAGCCAAAATCTGTGTCCGATCCATCAACAACAAACACTCCTTGGTGATGTCGAAAATTATAGGAGACTGATATTCAAAGTGCTCACTGAAAATTCTTTCCATTTCACAGATTTAAATATTTTCAAAACTTTAAAAAATTGGAACAGGTACCATCAATTTCTCATGTGATTCTCTTCTGTCAGTTACTACAGAATAATTTTTAGAATCTCTATTTATGCCAGAGAACCTACAAAGCAAATTGAAAAATGCTGCTGGAAAAAGAAGATGAATAAATAATAAAAAAAAAGAAAATAAATGATCAACCCAGTACTGGGCCAACTAGACCATGGCGTCCAGGATTCTTAACCATGTTTATTCCATGATATTCAGGAACTTATTTCTCGATGAGAAACCAAAAGAAGTTTTCTCCCACTTTCCTGGATTTGCTTGGAAAAAACTTCTTAACTCTCCGGAGTTCCAGATATGAATATTAATTTTTTCCACCTTTCAGCCAATTCTTCAGTGCAAATTTTCGTTTTTCATTCCAAAAGCTTTCCTGATAGTTACATTATTTGTTCCATAAAAACTTCTATAATATTTTGATGATAGGAAGATTCAAATATGCCATAATAACATAAACTCTGAGCAGTAGAAGAAGAGATTCCCGGTTTCTGGAACAGATTCCTAGATATTTTCCCGATTTTCCCTGAAATTTTTCATTCTCCGATCAATCCTGGTTTTTTCCCCATCCTATACACTATGGACTTAACTTACTTCTGGCCACCTAAATTCTGCGTTATAACCATCTTAGCACTTTGTGCCATCATGGGTTGACTTGTAAGAGATAAATAATTGGGGATGCTTACCTTGAAGTGAGTGCCATTCACTGTTACAGAAGAAGTGAGGCTTAGGTGGCTCAAATGACGTTGATATGATTCCGTTAACATTCTCCACGGAAAATTTAATTTTTCCATTTTTCATCTGAAGGGACAGGAAGTCTTCCTTGTTTTGAGAGAACACTCCAAGCATAAATCCTGAGGGACTCCTAGATTTGAAATCTAGTCTCACATCAAACTCATTCAGGACTCTGAACTTGTTGGCTGTGACAGAAATGGAAAAACAAAGGTAAATTAATTCTACCAAACAAAGAAATCTACAGTATAGGATAAAACTTAGCAGAAATAAGGGACGTTCATATTATGAAACTTAAAAATCACTCTCCTGGAGAAAAAAATCAGTACTGCTGCGCATGGGCATTTGCTATGGAGAATGGGTGGGAGCCAATGGGTCAGTTGCGCTGGGCACAGAACCGTGTTTTGATGCTTGATTCTAGTAAATTAGCAAAAAATAATAGATCTGTCCACACCGCAACTTTCTACGTTCAATATTAACCGAGATATCGCCCTTAGAAAAGTCAGGTTTTTGACATCATCCACCGCGGCAGTGACACTCTTAGTTTCTTCCTCTTTTGTTCGATTAGTGAAGCAGAGGGTGCAGCGCAAAACTTCAATAACGTTAAACGTAAACAAACTCAAAAAACAGACAGATTCGGATTTTAAAGATCTTCTTATCAGGAGATAATGCACTCGCCGCAAAAAAGATTAGGCAGTCCGTCAGTTCACCTCAGTTTGTTTACGTTTAATGTCACTGAAGTTTCCTGTTGCGCCCTCTGCATCATTGATCAAACAATAGAAGAAGAAACCAAAAGTGTCACTGCCCCGTTGGATGACGTCAAAAACATGACTTTTCAGAGGGCAATATCTTGGTTAATATTGAACTTAGAAAATTGCGGTTAGGACGGATCTTTTTATTTTTAGCTAATATACAAGAATTAAGCATAGAAACACAATTCTGTGACCAGCGCAACTGCCTTGTTGAAATAAGTTTGGCCAATGGTAAACTAATTAGGAAAGGATCTGAAAAAAAAAAATGATAAATGAATTTATTAGAACATTCATAGGATTTCACAATCATTTCATACACTAGAGATCTGTACTATCTTACCATCCAAATTTTTTTAAAATCAATATTCAATGAGACGCATACAAATTTTTAGCTATGAAGTGCTGAAAATGCATTTCAAAAATTTTAGGCTTTGATTAGAGAAAGAATTGGGTAAGGCTCAGCTGCAACAAGAGTCAAATAGCTAACATTGCACTTAAATAACTTGGAAATATCATTAACAGGAAAAAATTAACTCCTGCGTGCGACTTTTTTCCAAAGTGTGATACTCTGAAATGAGATTTACTTGTTAAAAAATGTCACTCAGTCCTAGCAACTAAATAGTCCACAGCATAACTCATTATCAATACCTGCTCTTAGATCAGTTGAACCTTGAAATTAATACTGAAATAGGGATGACCAGTGGTTCCTGAGGACAGCAAAATTTGAGTTGAGAAATCGGGTTCGAAAGCAGTGCGCTTTTAAGTAAATTCTACGTGCTTTGGATTAAAATGCTTCTCACCACGTATGACATATCTGCCCTCCACTGAAAAATATGTGTCTCTTTCAACCCTGTCAGAGCAAGGGATGACTCCAAAGGATTGAGATGGATTCTTGGCATTCTTGATGGGCCTGCTATGCATTCTGAAGTTCCTGAGACATCCTTCAAAGAATATTGAGGAATCCTGTGAATATGAATTTAGAAAAACCTTTAGATATCTCATAGTAAATGCCTTTCTCTATTCTAGTTAGTGGCTCACGGATTTCGAACAAGATATGAAGGATTAGTATTGTGGACACAAATTGTGGTATGTGTAGGACAAATGGAAAATACTTGTCATATTTTTAATACTTTAAAATGTTGGCTTAATTTCGAGTCAAAGGAAATGAAGATGAGAATACTGATGTCAGAAAACTTTGTGAGAGGAATTTTTTCTGAAATTTTCACAGCACACAAATGCTGCTCATACATGTGACCAAACAATATTGCACATTTGGTGGCAAGCTTTCCATAAGTTCTTCATTTTGCGATCCTCAGACTGTCTTTTACTTAGTTTGCTTTTCCCAGGATCCAAAATTCCCGGACAATTTCTGACCTTCGAACAAAACTCTCCTCAGACTTTTTTCCTATCCCTCACACTGACTTCTACTATATGCTGATCATTAAGTTCGCTGACTTTCCTTGAAATTTCTAGGTCGTTGTGAATTCCCTGACTTCCCAGGTTTGCCAGACTAACGAAAACCCTGGGTTGAGCACACATAAATGAATTCACATTATTTTATCTTCACTAAATGTTTGAGACTCACTTATATGAACAAAGGATTCAAAATAAAGTTATTGATAAAACTGCTAAGGAGAAAAAAAGATGAACATTCAGGCGCAAATTTGAGTGTAACAAGCATTGTAAACTGATTAAGAGAGAAACATCTACATTTTCTGGATTAAAAGTCAAAGTTTTGAAAATTGGAGTCATTGGATGATTATCTTTTAAAAAAAAGAATGAACAAAGTATGTCATTTATTCCCAATACTACTAAAGAGCATTTCAGATCCTCTATTTTGCCGATTTTGATTTTTCTTGCAAATTTTATTAATAAGAACTGATAATCCACTTCTTAAGTCTTTTCTCAGCCACATCTATGCTTAATCCTTATAAGCCTTCCTCAAATAACTTCAGCTTAAAACTTTCAATTTGGATAGCACTTAACGGATGGAAATCGAAATCCCCGACTTTGGTACCATAGCCGGTATAGTAAGTTGCTTAAATTGTCATATCTTCGATAAGATTCGCCATGTTTTCTTCCAGAAAAACTACAAGAAAAAAAAAAAATTTGGATAGCACATGTCTCTCTCGAACTGTTCACGAAGTTTTAAAAGAGGAAAAAAAGTTGAAAATTAGGCTAGGATAAACCAAATTTGTGGACACAAAAAAGGTGAATTGATTTTACCATGATGTTTCCTAGAACTTGTTCATGGAGTTTTGGATCCAGTCCTCCAATATAGACTGTATCAGTTAGACTGATTGTTGATTTGTTGCCACCTGCTCTTCCTTGGGTGACTGATTAGCTATCAATGATCATTTCACCATCAAGTCCATCTTGTTTCAACAAGAGTTCATGCCACTCGCCGTCGTTGTATGTTTTTGATGACTCCAGAAGAGCTGGCTGGGCGCTGCCACTGAATCCGAAGCGAACCTGTGACAAACATACACGAAAATAGGATATAAAAATGGTACACTTTCAATTGTGTGTATAAAAAATTCCTTGGAATAAAAGTGATAAAAACGCAGCAAGACAAGTCTATTTAAGAGCTGTGAGAAAATACATTACTATTACCGATTGAAGACTTTGAAATATTTGGAAAAGTAGTCATGGTAAATGGAACACGTCAGTTCTGATTATTGAATTCTAGCAATAGTCACACTTCCGCTGGAATTTTACTTAAAAAACTTACACACGAAAGTGAAATTTCCTGACATACTTTCAAGATCTAAAAGTAAGAAAAGCCTGAGAGGATTCCAAATCAAAACAATTTTAAGGTGCGTCTTGAAATTTTACACCCCGTATCATTAAGGATTGATTAAATTTTGACATCTAGAGAGTAATGTGACTTTAACGGACATTTTTGGGGAAAATTTTTCCTGTACACTGAAAAAAAAGGATTGCTAATTCACCGATTTAGGGTGGAGCAAAATTTGCTTCACTTCGTAAAGCTTTCTTATCCGTGCATGGTGTTGAATCAAGTAAACGACTAGCACGAATTGCTACACCGATTTGCTACATCTGCGCGCCTTCATGCAGTTAATCTTGCATCGAGTGGCTTGGAAGTGTAACTGCATTTTTTGGTATTGGTACTTTAAGAACAGTAAAAATAGCTCAATAGTTAAGCTGAAATAGCGGAATTTACGGTAAAATAGCGAAATTTACGGAAGAATAACTAAAAAGGTAACAGACGTAGTTTTTCAGAGAGCAAAATCACCTACACGCGTGTGTCTAAGTTAGCTGAAATTTGTGTAGCGATTTTACCTGCATGGTTTGCACGTTCGTTTTTTAGCTACACCATGCCATGAAATACCCGCGTGCAAGGCAAATTCAGCAATATTTTTTTTTCAGTGTAGATTTATAGTTTTATACATCTCTCTCTTTTGTATTATCGAACCATTTCTCTTACGCACTTACATCAAACCATGTATGTATTAAGATATTTGAAAATTTTTAACATTGTTTTTCTCTGCATTTGTCTGTCGGTTTCTGTAAAATATACCTGATGACAATTTGGTGTAATTAAAGTCACTAAAGTGGCTCTTCAGAAATAAGTAGGCAATATCTCCTGGTAGTGGTGCATAATTTAAAAATGAATCGCATTAAACATTTTTCTTTTAAAGGAATGGAACCGTCAGAACTCTGTAATATAGCTTGCAAGTAAGAAGGAAAGTTCAGAAACTGATTGATACAATTCTCCAAACGATCTTTCTGCAGAAATGATTCTTAAAAGAGAGTAAAAGTCTCCCATCCTGATAGTGTAATACTAGAAAACGAAAGAAAAAAAATTTCCGCCATCTATTTCACCTATTGCACGATCTATAAAAGGAACAATTTCACTTAAAATCAGCGAACATTGTAATACAATGTCTGAAAGGTAGTAGCAACGAATATATTGGTATTTGGAGTGTAGCCGAGTGCACTCGGCTACACTCCAAATACCAATTTCATTTAGGTACATTACCTTCCCATCAACCAAGTACGCAGCCACATACTCAGTGTGTAGCTCATTAGCAGCGTAAAGGATGGTTCCGTACTGAGAGATGGTCTTAAATTGTATTGACACATCAAATTTGCTTTTGAGTTTAGGGGCAAGCGATGGATACTCAATTCGACTGCCATTTGTCGTACCGAACTGGTAGCCACTTTCGTATGTAACATATGGATCCTTTGGAGGAGAAACCGGGAGAGCGCACAAACCGACTGGAGTTGGAGCTTGCGATGGAAGGACAGTAGGAGTTGTTGGGCTTGATGGAGGAGTTGTTAGGCTTGACAGAGGAGTTAAATGATAATCGATTTCCTCTTCATCCTCAAATGTTACTGGTTCTGGAAAAAATTCAATTTATTAAGAGCATATGATAGTGTAAAAGCTTAATAGCTTTTGCCATGTCATAAAAAATCTGCTCTAGCATTGAAAGAGATTACCTGTGTTATTGTTAATGTTCCGCTCCAGTTTGAAAAAGCAAATGAATAGAATGAAAAAGAATGTTTCGTAGAATGAATTCATGAGTCGAAATTAGCTCTATACTTGTGTCTCACAATAACAGCAACGAGGCTCAGTATAAGTTAGAGTTTTTGTTTATTTTTTCGTATTACCTTTTTTTAAGGTGCGATAACTGTCCCTTAGTCAGCCTCAGTTCCCTTTAAAATTGTTGATTTTGTATTATCGTTATGGGCCCATTAAGTTGTTTCTCATTTCTCTATACTTACGCTCACAAGAAAAACGTTACCATTTTTTTCATTGGTGCAGTTAAGATTCATTAATATCCATTTTCCTGTTGTTGATTTCATTCAACAACTAACACCATCTGTGATCGAAAACTGAGACATTCTTGTTAACTCACGCATCATTTCGATTTTTAGCAATAACTAGACAAAGAACTCAAGGAACTTACTCAAGGATGGTCTGACATGTGTTCTCCGTGAATGCACGTCCCAATAACAACTGTATTTGCTTTGACCTTGGCAAAGTTGACTACTTCTCTGTTGATAGTGACATCACTGATGCAGCTAGAGAAAGGATATGTTGTACCTACTGATGATGTGTCTGTAGTGGGTGGTGTAGCTCCAAAGTATAGATTACCATTGACGAGCCTAATTGGGTTAGTCTTTCGCGTGATGCTGATAAAAAACATGAAAAGAGAGTTTTAATCTGCAATGCTGAAAAGGATTCATGATGTGACGTTTTACATGAATTATCGCACACAGTAGGCTGATGCCAGATAACTGATGGCAATTGACAAAGACTGATGCAGGCAAACCAGCAGTGAGCCAATTACTAGGGATATTTTTACCATCTTTACCTTTTTGGAGATATGGGTTAAATGGGAGCTCAAAATATGTGTCTTTTAATTCACTTTCTGTGGGTTCATATTGCTTGAAAAATCAGGGGAAATTCAAGTAAATAAAAGGCACTTCCTAGATGATGTGTACGAGTAATTTTAAATTCGATCACTGTTGACTTACTCAGTTTGGTTGAATACATCGAAATCATCGATGACCAGCTGAAGGGTATTATCGATAGAATTATGGCTGGCAAAGATAACATGCCACTGCTCATCATAATACGGCCTTAATTAACTAGATTTCAATTCTGATTCGCCTGTTTTGAATATTAGGATTCCATTCTCCATGCGCAATGAAATCGCATTTTCTGTTCCGTCACTTGCAAAGAGAATGAGCCTGTGGGGATGTGTTGTATTTGAACGCAGAATCAGCTGGAATGTGTTGTCCGTCGCAGATACTCCTGATAGCCTATCGTAGTCGGGGGACTCACTGTCAAACAAGATGGTACTTACAAACTGTTCAACAAAAAGTAGTTTTAATTTGTAAAAAGATAAAGAAAAGTCATAAGGTTTGTGAGGAGTTGAGAGAAGGGTGCTTAATAAGATCTCTAGATATTGATGAGCCAGTATTTCCGAAAAATTCTTGATTTTCTGAACTCGTGAAATTTGTTTTTTTTTCCAGTTTATGAGATTTGTTTCCACTTCGACATTTGTGTTAATTACAGTTTTAAAACCACAGTGGTTCAATTTTACCTTAACAATTGAAAATTCAAGTCCATATACTCAAAGGCCTATTAACTTTGTTGGATGAATATTTCACATATGGTGAACCACTAGTTAAGAATCAAATGTCATAATGCAGATTATTCCCAAAAGTCTACAGGAAACATAGCAAACACATTCAGAATTTCCAAATCTATTCATGATTTATGTATAAATTATACATTTTAGTAAATCATGAAATTTTTTAGCTACATTACAATTATAAAACTCCATCAGCCACTGCTCAAAAATATAAAAATCAAACTTTTTGAGATTACTCCGCCTTTAGTTTCTGATGTTTCAAGTTAATGCGCTACCAACAAAAATAAAAGAAAAGGCTTACCTCTTCGGGGCAGCCAGGGACTACATCAAGAGCATTGATGTTTTTACTAAGATCTACACTAATGCTCATTATTTGCACATTGTCGACACACCCATCGAAACCCGTATTTGAGACGTCAGGTAATTTATAGTCACCTGGATAACCACCCACGTAGAGGCGATCAGAAACCTAGACAAAAAGAGAAATAGAATGAGAGTAACATAGATGAGAAAAAAACAAAGTTGAAAAAAGCGATGTGCACTTTCTGATCACTCCCAGATACATTACGCCAAGGAAGGGGGAGTGGCAAATAATTACTAAAGCAATTGGACTACATTTTGCAATAAGGAACTACACTTTTTGGCCCATTCATAAAAACGCTTATGTGCATAGGAAAACTAATGGTGCTTATTTTGTTCCTAAATTGTGCCACAAATTGTAGTTTCCAAAAGCAAAATGTCGTCCAATTATCACCAAAGGATACAGAAATGACCATGTACAAGGAGAACGACTTCAGTATTCGGACACACATTTTTCAGAGGAGCCAAAGTGAGGTTTTTGACAGGAAGCACTTTCTAATCTCTCAGATGCTAAGTTTCGAGGAGTTTCAGGGTGTTCACTGTTTACAAACTCGGTCGGTGATAACTCCCTGATGAAAATCATCGTAATTCCTTTATCTCCCACATCAACAATATGCACATACGGAGCTGAAACCCTGCATAGAACAAAGGGCTCAGTGGCTCTGGGTAGATTTTGATAAAATTTCAATAGATGGACATTAAGTTCATCATTAGCATAGAGCCAAAAAAATAGCGATTGAACCCGGACTATTTTTTATCATATCACACCATGACGGAGGACTTCCGGATCTTCTCTCCTCTGGTTGTTTGGCGTTTTCAATCAGACCTCACACACAGTTAGGTGCTTAAACGTTCCGCCAGTGCAGTGCTAAGACCATACACCCTCCTTCTCCCCGCATCCGCCAATCTTGTTTCAGCAACTCTTTAGTCATTTCAGAGGAGGGGTACGAGAAATAAGAAAACTCCATATCGAATTGCTTGAGCTGGCCTGAGTGGCTACCTGGAGGAGAGAGGGGGTTTCTCAGCTGAAGTCTGAGGTGTTCAAGCACAAGAAAAGGTGATGAAGAGCGCCCATTTGTCTCCACCACACAGAAAATGCCCCATGTTTTAGGGTGAATATCTCGGCTTCTACTCATTGGAATGAGCTAATTTTTTGGATCCATGCTAATAGTGAACTTTATTTTAACCTACTAAATTTCCATCAAAATCTACTGGGAGCCACTGAGTCTCCTGTTCTATGCGGGGTTCTTTTGGGTACAAGTTTCACTGTGACTGACAAACGTGTGAACTTTCTTTTTTTGGGTATCAATCATTCAATGAAGTGAAATTGTGATTCATTCTTGAAAATGATTCCTCTTGACTCAGAGCACTGAGCACCTCAAAATAGCCTAAGACTAAAACTGATTGTGTCCAGAATGCTGAAGTTTTTCTTGTAGACACTCAAGTTAGGATAATTATTTAACACAAAGGCAAGAAGTTGCAGGAAATAAAGTTTGAGCTGGAGAAATTCACATTTAATCTGAGTCTAATTACAGACAAGTTTCAGTTTTGAATGTGATAATTATAATTTTAGGTAGCTTTGCCATAAAACTTTATTTTTTTATTCAAATGGTCAAAATTCTGGTTTGAATTATTGCTTTTTAGCATTTTTTTGGCAGAATGTTTGTACAGTAGGGGTGATCGAAATTCCCGACTTGAGCGCTATACAATCCGAATAGGGAAAAAAGGTGGCCAAATTGCATGTAGATTACAGGAAAAATTTCCGCAGCTGTAATTCCAACGGGGACATGGCGCTCCAGCCCTTCGAACATTTGCATCATTAAAATACCTAAAAAATCAGGTTTTCTCTCATTCGGGTCGGTGTTGGTGCCCTCAAACACGCAATTGCATCATCAAGCACATGTTTTCCTGCGTATTTTTTCACGAGGAATCGATTTTACTGGTTTTTAAAACGATATGTTGTTGTATTTAATCGATATATCGATTTTTCATTCGATTTCTGAAAAAAATTTGGTAATTTTTAACATTAACTGTATCAAATTCTATCAATTAGAGATAAATAGGCAAAAGTTTTAATGCATAAGTAAACTAGTGCTCACATAAACTTTTATACACAAGGCACTCACCCTCAAAGCAGCGTATACTGACCATTCTTCAGTTAGGGTAAGTACTAGATGATGGCCGGAATGCCGGTATTCTTGGCGTCGCAGCAATCGCGTTTCATGGCTCATCATTCGAAAGAACATTTTTTTCGAAATCTGATGACGGGTACCTAGTAAAGGTGAGTTGCCTTTTGGCATCAAATGACGAGGAAAAAATCCTGGCTCCATAGGACAACACTTCCATTGAAAACATGAGGTTTGAACTTCCAAAATCTCAAATTTTCGTTTTTACCGTATTTTTTTTTT